AGGTCTCCACTCTCAGGGTCCCTGTGCTCGGAGAAGCTGTGGCTGCCCCATCCCTGGCAGTGTTCAAGGCCAGGTTGGACACAGGGGCTTGGAGCAAGCTGCTCTAGTGGAAGGTGTCCCTGCCCGTGGCAGGGGTTGGAGCTGGAGGAGCTTTAAGGTCCCTTCCAACCCAAACCAGTCTGGGGTTCTGTGATTTACCTGCAGAGGTCAGAATCAACCCCTCAGTCCTGGGCGCCACGGACACGGGGTGCTCTGGCACAGGAGCAGGATGAGGCCCCAGGTCTCTGCTCTTGCAGGCGGTTTCCAATCCGAAAGTTAATGCGAGATGAAGGTCCCCAAAGGGCAGTTATTTCGGTGAGGCAGAGCGCCCCGATGCTCTGCCAAATTCTAACTATAGGAGCAGCAGGCTGGGCACCTGCAGGGCTCATCTGTCACCATTTGCCTCCGCACTGCCTGCAGGGAGGAGACCAGGAAAAGCTTTCCCTGGTCCCTTCTGTCTCATTCCCTGCCCTGTGTTCCACTGTCCCGGCACACCTTCCTGCTAACTCCCACCTGGAGGCAGCGGCTGGAAGCCAGGGGTTATCTGAACAACAAAAATTACACTCAGAAATGGGTTCTAGAGGGGTTTTGTTCCCCACTTTCAGCAGCTTTGAAGGTATTTGGCCAATCCCCCCCATGACCCATCACCGAGATTCAACCACATGCCAGTAGTGGAAGCAATTCATGCACCCAGGAGTAACATAGGACTCACAGTCAAAGGTAAAGGGCACCCTTTAAAGGGGATGCTTTAAAGATGCATGGCATGATTGTGCTTTATACCCATTTGATTTGTGGCCACTGCACCCAATACAAACACGGGGCCCACGGACAGGAGTCCCTTCCAGGCCCTCTGCCTGGTCCCCGCACAGAACAGGGGTGGGTGCACCACAGTCTTGGGGACCACTGGCTGCTTCCACCGCTTGGATTTCGTTTCGTTCCGCTCATCGCCCTGAAGGGGTTTCATTTTACACTTCCGTATTTGCTTTATCTTAAATGCTAATGGAAAAGTCAGGGTGAGCAGATCAGAAACAAGACTCTTGGCATTCAATAGCTTCCCAGATTCTGGCTCAAGCTGTATGGTTTTGTACAAATCCCGCTGTCGCTTGGGCATTGGGAACACTAAAAACTATTGCCAAACCAGCTCACATTCACCTCCCGTACATATCCCATAAAACAAGGGCTGCAGAACCTCGCTTGCCTTTCCTAAATCCAGAGTGCACAGAAGAAAGGGACAAGACCTGGGTTAAGAGCAACAGCAAAAGCCCTTGTAAAACACAGGAGCAGGGAATGAGCAGCCACTGGACTCGGCAGTTCCTCTGCTCACTAGGGCTTGGGCTCTGCCTTCCCAATCACTGCAAGCAGCCTACAAAACAGACCATTTCTGCCCCCAGAAAAGGCCTGGCACAACACTCGTGTTCCAAGAGATCCAGGAGGTGTCTTTAATAAGAAAAAAAACCTAAGAAAGCTTATCCAGGAAGCAACAGAACAGCGGAAACGCTGCGGAAGAGTTATGAGCTATGTCCTGTCCCTGCTCCAATTCCTCAAAACAGCTGAGCAATTTCCCCAAAGCACTGCTTGGCCAGCACAGCCCCTGGCATGGAAAACTTCAGCCTGAAAGGGCAAAAGAGGTGAAAGTTCGAGTTTAATAAATGGGACTGAGCATTTAAGCAGCCTCGATGTCACCATTAATCCTACTGATGTTATTAACCTGGGAGAGGGAAGGGGAGGGCACCGCCTGGTGAAGATGAGACAAGCCAAAGGGGAAGAAAAACCCCAAAGCAAGAAGTGTGGTGTGGGGGGTATGCTTCAAGCCCTGACTGTTGTAGCTGCTTCTGTGGCATGAGATGTCACCACAGTCACACAGCTCTGCGGCTTTCCCAGGGCTCTCATTGTCAGATGGAGATGCTAATTCCTCAATGAAGCCCATAAACATACCTGAGACCATGTACACCATAAAACCCAGCAGATGCTCACTTCTAAAAACATCTCACAGTGGGGAACCCAACAAGTCCCAAATGCTTTTCTTTATATCAGAAAAGCCTTCTTCCTCTTACTGCTGACGCTCTATACCTTACTGCCACACTAGAATCAGGCTAGTGGTTTAAATTACAAACAGGAGAACCCCCCAGGAGCATACACAGCTGTACTGTAAGCAAATATTTACACAGGCTATATAAGATATGGGACTCCAAAGCTTCAGTCTTCTCCCGGTGTCTGCAAAGCAAACACACACAAGAGGATCTGACGTTGTCACATTACGCATTAGGAGCCGAAATGACTTCTGGTCAGCCCTATGGGGATGGATAATCAGTAGCTTGCTCCATGCTTCCACTTAAGAGGAGATAATCCATTTCTGTATGGCTTTGGTGTCAGATCAGAGCGATTCTGGCAACGGTTCCAACGGCACACAGCGCTCCAGCAACAGCTGATTCAAACGCTCCAAAAGCCACAGGGCATCCCAGCCTCCACCCAAAGGACTTCAACTGTCCTTCCGCAGCGGCAACTGCTGCAAAGGTCAAGCATATAATGGAGGCAGCACAGTTTTGCCTCTCCTCTCGACCTGAAGGTCAAGGCTGAGAGATAAACAGCCAGAGAACCCACAACAAACACCTCCAAAGAGCTGGAGGATGCAGTTTGCTGCTTGAGCTGCATCCTGCAGAGGCTCTTGGCAGCGTAGGGATGTGTCACCCTGCAAGAGGAGTGCTCATCCCACTTGCTGAGTGACCAGTCCATGGAATAGAATTTGGTGTCTGCAATAACTCGTCTTGCCTGCTCAGCCCCTCTACCCAGCTGCAATGCACTCCTTCCCACAGTGTGAGCACGCTGCACCAAGAAGTGTGGGAAGGATTACATTCAACAAGGAGAACCCAAACGTGCAAGGCAGAACCGATCGCGGTTGACCTGATGACCAACCACCAGGACCGAGGGAAGGAAACAGCACACCACAAGCAGCTGATCGCTCAACAGCAGGCTCTTAAACAAACACAACTACCCAGGGCTCGGCACTCCAAAGCTGCTATGGAAGAGTCTGACCTCAGAGGGAAGGCTCCTCAACCTGCCCAGCCACCAGCATGAGTGCTGCTGATGGAGGCGTGCCTTCAGCCTCCAGGTGACTGGGCTGGAAGGAGAGAAGCAGGAGTGATTCAGTCTTCCAAGAGGTAAATGATGGAGGACAGTAATCAGTTAATCTCTGCTTCCAGCCCAGGTAAGATTAAAAACTCCCTAAATCAGCTTTGTCTGTAGCAAATGAAGATTCAGATCTGATATTAGCAAACGTTCAAAGACGGAGCCATTAGGCTTTGGGATTAGGTTGAGGAGGTTGTTAATTCTCCTTCAGTACTTTTGTACAGGGCAGAGAAACACCCTGCAGGGACAGGCTGGGCCCAGTAAATTCAGCTTCTGGGAATAGGATCACACCATCCCCTTCCGGATTTGCCTCCCAAGGACTCCCAGGGCCAAGATGAGGCTAAGGCCAGCACAGGGAAAGCTGTGAGGGGCAGACAGCAAACAAAACGCAGCCCTGCAGCCATCTCTCGCCCTACAAACAGGCAGCCACACCTCGCCGTGGGTCTGCACCACGTCAGGGCTGCTAAGACACTGCACCCTGCACGCATGCTTTGTTTTCAAGGCAGCATTTCAAAAAGCTCCGTCGTTCATTTAAGGTGAAGCAGATGCTGCTCCTCTGGTCTCTTTGAAAGGGCTTATCTATGGGCTGGATTTCATTAAGTGTCTTGTTCTGCATTTAATAAGCTTGCAAGTCTAGACACTTTGGTTTTCTCTCTATCACCCCTTTGGTGTACCAGCAGGTAGAGACAACAGAGGTTAAGAGGGAAATATTTAGCTAGCAGATTTAGATGCTATCAAGACGATTGCATCATTCCACTGTGACTCACTGCCATTTCATACCCAGAGACTTTTTCACTTACCCTTTTGAAAGAAAGAGGCTGCTACCTGCTGCAGTCAGGTAGAGGGGGTCTCTGGGAGGTTTCAAGACACAGATTTTGCAATATTAATAGCAAATCCATCTTGAACTAATGACCGAACGAGGGAAAAGAACATCCAGAGACGCTGTGCGGTGGCATCTCCCTCTACTGCCAGACAACGATGATGATGTACGAGCAGAACAATCTCAGCAACCCAGTCCACCTGACCTGTCAGGTATTACCATGCGCCAGTGTCTCATCCCCCAGCCAACGAGGACAACCCAGGCAGGAGCCTGATGCTCTGCTCCTCCTCCAGGGGCATGCCAAGGTGCTGGGGCTGCAGTGATCAGAGACACCAAGGGAACTGCCACAACCAAGAGCTGAGCAGCGAAACCAAGAGATGCTGCTCAGACCTCAGATGGGTACAAGCCCTATGGAGACCCGGTCTGACCGGACACTGCTGTGGATCAGAGGACAATACTGGGACCAGGCATTTGCTTATCAGTCAGCAATAAATGCCAGTCAAAGGATGGGAACTCAGCAGAGACTTTGTTCATAATTCTTCTGACCCTGCATCACACTTGAACCCTTGGCCTCCTCACAAAACCAGCTCTGTACTTAATCTGCTGCTCTGCTGAGCCCCAAAGGCTATGTGAGATGGATACAAATCCTGCTGGTTCATAACATGCTGGGGAAGATCAGCATTTTTGCGGACTGGGGCCGGAGATGTGCACGTTACAATTACACACACTGCGGGGATGTACCAACAAAACTCACTGCGAGCTTGTATTAAGAGCAAAATGGTTTTTCAAGCGATTAATCAGAAGGAAAGATCTTTGGGAAACAAAGAGCCATAATCAGCAAATACTTCTCTCTCATGGGATTGCAAAACAAGGCAGGCTCTGCCCTCCGAGCCACGAGTCATGAACTTTCCCAGCGAACGGGAGGCAGAGCAGAACAACTGCACAGGCAACAACAGGATGAGGGTTTTCTTACATCTGATCCCAAGGAAAGCAAGTTCAAGGTCTCCGCACTCACCATCAAACTTCTTGTAGCGGGAACTGAACATGGTTTGTAGGTGATTGCTAAGCTCCACAACGGCGTTCCTGAAGTCGTGTTTACTCTGCTGGCTGTACTTCTCCTCCATCTCCTGGGAGCAGCACGTGTAGCCTTGTGAGCAAACTTTCAAATGGTCACCTGAAAAGCAGGGAAGAAAAGACCCCAAATTAGAAGGATTCTCTATGCAAAGAGGTCAGCTTGTGAGGCACGGGGAGCGAGGACCCACAGCACCATCCCCTTCCAAGGAGACCTCCCCTCACTGCGAGCGCTGCACTGGGCATATCAAAACCTGGTCCTGTAGAACTTTATAGCAACACACGTAAATAAGACCTGGTCTTTCTGCAAGAACATTAAAAAGTGGCCTCCTATTTATTCAGTTAATAAATGGAATAAACACATACTCATCTCGCACAGTATAATTTGAAGATCCAGCAAATTGATCTGTATATTCTTCGCTATCTACCAGGAAATTTTTGCTGAGTATTTTAATTACTTCCAATTCACTCAGTTCACACACAACACAGTATCAATGCCAGCAGCTTTTTTTGTACAGGTAAATCCTTTCTTCTTCACCTCCAGTTACCACAGGAGGAGTCATCTCTCAGAAGCACAGTTATCACCGATACTAAAATACACTTGGTTTATGCTACAGCTCATTAATGCTACAGCATTATCTTTCCCAGCTCCCAATTTGACAGTTTTCTGTCATCATCCTGCATGAAACCAGGGGGTTGGTTTTGGAAATTTCAAAGAAGTTTCCTTCTACCCTGAAGGATGATTCTGTCCTAAGAGTTACCTGGCCCAAGATGGCTTGGTCAGAGCCGTCATCAAGTGGTTCAATTATCTACCATAGCTCCGTTTCAAACTTTCACAGGCAATCTGGACACAGGATCTGGCCCCACATCATTTGCTTTTAAAGCATCTCGCTGCAGTGTGGGATGAAGCTGCTTCTAGCACCACCAACAAAATGCTGCCGTCGAGTTTGGTGGGCCGAGATAAACTCTTCCCATTGCAATCCTCGGCTCCAGCTTCTCTGGCAGGTCCCACAAAGCAGCGGCACCACCGTGGGCTGACACTAAACTGGTTCAGTCTTGGGCAAACTGTGCAAATCTTTGTCAACTCTGAAGATCCAATCAAAACAAGCAGTTAACATGAGAAACTCGTCCTTCCAAGTCAGATGGTATTTTAGACGACACAGCCTACATGTAAGCTGCTGCCTTCTCTCCCAGTTTCACACCCCGCTGCCAAACCTTATCCTCCATCCCGAGAAAGCAGATGGAGGAGCAAAGGCTCTTCCCTACCTGCTCACACCCTGAAAGCCACCAACAACCACCACCAAGATTCAAGGACTCATGGCAAACGCAAAGCGAACCACCTCTTCTCAACAGAGCTGTGAACCGTGCGCTTACTAAAGAGCATCCAAAGTGGGTTTAGAGAAACAAAAGCTGGGTTTGCACAGTGCAAATCAAAGCCTACCCATGCCTAACAGTTGCTTCTCTGCCTGCCTTGTGCCAGACCTCATACCAACATCATTTACCCAGCTACTGAACTTCTGCATCACTTTGCTTTGATTTCCAGCCCAGAAATATTGGTATCGCTCCTTTCAAACACTTAAGGACCATTTTAAAATGAGCTATGCATACTGTTATATCTATAAATATATATAGAATTCCTAAGAACCTCTCCTCCTAAATCTATTTTCCTCTTGTGCTATGGGGTTGGCTTGTTTTCCCTTGTGTTACAGAGACCTTGACCGACAGATAACTCTGCCACAGCTAATTTATTGCACAAGACCATCCGCTGCTCTTGAGTTACAGAAAGCTCAGGGTCTGTTACAGGAAACAGCACCACTTGGGCACAGCCTTCAGAAAACACAGAAAAAGCTCACCATCTCCTTACGGATACATTTTCCTCCCACGGATACTATTCCTTTCCACCTCAGAGGAGCACCTCCAGAAGCAAATGCACAGCATTAAGGGGAGCAGCATGGAGGGATGTGGCTCCATTTAGCTTGACACAGCATTAAGAGAGGAAGAGGCAGATTTTCAGAGCCTGACCACCAAATCCCTCCTGGAATATACCCGGAGTGAGCCTGCCTTACTAGCAAGCATTACAAAGGGAAAATGCCCAAGCACCACAGCTTTAGTTCAATACAGGACTACGGCTCTTTGACACAATGGGAAATGAAGAGCAGTGGAGTCATAACTTCAGCTAGAATGCCAGCTAGTTTTGAGGTGTCAAAATAATTCCGTTTCAAAGCTCTTGTCGTGGTTTGGGGTTGATTTTTTCCTGTGTTTCTTATGGGGGGAGTATGCTGGAAATACATTTTACAGACTCAGTCCTATTGCCATGAATTACGCCTGCCTTTGATGGTTAAACTCGCATACTTCCCATTCTTTTGTGTTGGAGTGGTAAGCCTCTACCCTACTTGGCAAATTCAAACCTACTGATAGCACGTTACACTTATTACACTGGCAACTTCTCAAGTTCTTCACAGATGCCCTGGGCTCCCCGAAACAATTGTTTTTAACAACTACTCCACTTATTTATGGCGAAAAAGACAAAAGCCCCATGCACTTCACAAATACAATTACAGTTTTATATCTATTTATACCATTAAACTAAAGTTACCAGGCACCTAATGTTACAAACAAAATCCTTTCTCTTTGATCCCCCTCCTCCCTGATTTGCACGGTGCCTCCCCAGGACACACATGCAAAGCCAAGCCAAGAGAGCACTACTGATAGTAAATCAAGCTTGCACAGATCCCATTTGGTTGATCATTAAGAAATTATGCTCCAAAATGCAACTCAGAAATTCAAAAATGAATGACCAAGCAATCTAATTATGGAAGATATTTCTCAGTCATGTCAGCACTATGTGGTCTTGGCTCGTGACCAAGAATTAGCTCTGTCTGGAGCCCAGGAGCTCCGGCTACTCAGTGCTAATCATAGAAGATGCACTGTGCTACCCGGTGTTAAAAACCAGAATGTTTAGGGCTATGGGCTGCTTTTCTTACAGTTTTCTTATGCCACAGTAGGAGACATCAATGGAAAGTCACTCAAAGACACTGGGGGCTCCAGTTTTCCCACGGGAAGGGTTGTCCTTAGCACCTCCACATCCCTGAGAACATATCCTCACTTTAGCAGGGCAACAGGCACTGACACAGCTTGTGAGAAGTCATGTCTAGCCTTTGTTGTGCATCAGTTAACAGAGCTCATCTGGTCAGCATCCATCCACAGGACTTGCCCCACGCCTGAGTTTGCAGGGAGAGCAACACACCATCCCATCGCCTGCCCGGGTGATGGATCCATCACCTGCCCCTGCGGTGAGCGGCTGTGGTGTTGGGAACTGCTTATGCCTCCAAGAACAGACCCCAGACAGCTTCAAAACACAAAGTGCTACAACCACGGTCTGCAGGGGAATGAAAGCCGTGAAGCAGCTGCTGCCAATGGTCCACGTGAGCACGGAGCAGTCACACACAGAAAACACTGATCCAGAGCCAAGACCAAAGACAACGTTCTTCATCTTTCCAGTCAACTCCTCTATGGAAAAGGAGTGAAAACCAGGTTATTTAGTTCCACTGAAACAGAGCCCTAATGCTTATGTACATTATGTAAAGAACCCTCCTGGTGCACGCTCGCTGTCAAGGACACATTCGGCAACAATTATTTCCCGAGTTAAAACTCATCAAACAATGCCCATAGAAGGCAGCTCTTCATCTACTGTTGAGTGTTAAAGACTCATCAGCTTTTGTAATTTATCACCATGTGAGCACAGCAAAAATACAACCCTGCCGCAGCTTCCTTTCAAGTTAGGCTTCTTATTGAATTGTTTGGCAGGGTGTGCAATCATCACATCAGAGGCTGCATGGCAAAAAGAGCTTAAGTAGCAGAGAACGACTCCAAGCATCTACCACATACGCATACCATGGCTGCAGCTTGCCACGGATTTGCAGCAGATCGTTCCCATGGCCTGTTGCAGCAAGCCTTTTCCTCTATTTTACACTACAGATGAACACAGGGAGAAAAAGGAGGGACCAAAATGACAGGAGAAGCCTGGCCAGTTAACAGCACACCTCTGGGGAGCGGAGGTGGAGGTTTAAAGGTAGAAATGCAATGGTACACAGTGCTGCCATCGGTACAGCCAAGGAAATGCGCTCAGAAAGGTAATCTTGCAAAATAATGATTTAAGCCATTACAGAAGCACTGCTTTTAGCAGGCTCCGGGCACACAGGGTTTCCTCCCAATCAAGTAACTGTTTTGCAGTGTGTCAGAAACCAAGTTCTCATCGAGTCAGCACCTTTTCAGATGTTGTTTCTGGATGTCTAATGTGGCTTCCCAGCCTGCTTTGGCCAAGTTGATATTTTAGTGTATATACCTATATATACCTGTATACACACCTATATATACCCAGCTGCAAAATAGCAGGAGTTCTTTACTGGGAGGCAGGGGTTAGACTCCTTTACACAGTCTAGCCCTTCACTGCAGCTTGGTAACCAAGCCAAAAGTTGTTTATCATCCGAGATGTCACTGCTGGACTGGGCTCCCATGTGAGTTAACAGCCTGGGTAAGCTGGGCTGATGGAGGAGCAGGAAGGGACCAGCACCACCATTTCAGCCTTGTTCTCTGCCTCTTCCCTATAGAACACATGGGCTTGTGTCATCTTTAAGAGTTTTATGACTTCCTCTGAACCAACTACCAAAGGAATCCTGGACTGTAATGCTGGGCTCTAATCCGATTTCACACTAGACTTGCCTTCTAATTATCACAGAATATTAGGCTTCCACCCATCATATATAATTGACATGCTACCGAGGCTTTACAAAACCCCCAACAAAGATGACAAGAAACACTAGCATCACCCCTGAGCACAGCTCCACTGCTCCAGCCCCACATTAACAAGGGGTGAGAAGAAGAAAGGGAAGCGTGAGCTTGTGATTGACTCCAGCAGAGTCATCGAGACAGACAAGGCTGCTGAACCATCCACCCAATCCGATCACCTTTAATTACACCCAAAATACCAAAACCAGCTCAGTTTTCCTGGCTACAAAAGGAGCTGAGCATGCTCAGCATCTCTGGGAATGGACTGTGAGCTCGGTGCTGCTGTAACCCTACAGATCATCAGCACAAACATAA